CAGCCATCAGAACCACCTCTTCCCAGCACAGAGCCCAGGAATTACTTGCAAATGAAATGCAACCGGACTTATTGCTTCTGCAACCCTGGAAATTCAAGTTACAGAGGTGACATTACATTTTGTTTTGCCAGGGCTAATCTAATACCTTTTTAAAGGTGCATGCATTTCGCCCTGTTGGCTTCCAACACTGAATTACCAGCTCTGCTAAGCTTCAGAATAAATGAGACAAGCGTGCCCTCTGGGTGAAATCCCTTGCTGTAATCTTTATTCAGAACACACTGCTTCAGAGCCCTGTGTGCATTGCCAAAAATCGCCTTGAGGTTTGCTCCTAAGACGGCAATTTGCATATCACCATTTTGCTGCAGAGCTTATCCAGTGTCCCCGCTATTATTTTAATACCCAACTGTGGGCGTCCCCCCCCCCCCCCTCGAGCAGCGCACAGAAGTGCACGCTAAAAATACTCTTGCCTTCCCCACTGGCTCCGCACATGACCGCAACCAACGCCGTCTCGGATGCAAAACCGGGAGCGATGGCACCCATCCGCCTCTTGACAAGGATGCGCAGGTATCTGAAGCGCTCAAAAAAAAAACGTGCTGGGAAGCAGAAAAGTACCTCTGCACGGATGGAGGAAGGATGCACACCGCAGCCGGTGGAGGAAGATGGCAACAAGAGACAGTTTTGCAGTCAAGGAAAGCAGGAGAGGTTTATCCGAGCGCAAGACGTACTTGGGAAAACACATTAAGAGGTAATAAAGCAGGCAAGGGAGGCATCGCCCGGGACATGAATTTAAGATGATGCTGCACAGAGGAAAGGAAAGAAACCTCATGCACAGAATCCCAGGCAAACGCAGCCTGATTCATGCTCCAGGAGGGAGATCCTGATCCCAGCGCACTGATGAAAGCGCACAAAAAAACAACCCCATGGATTGCAGATTTTTCTGTGCTCTCCTTCCCCCCTCGCCCAGCAAAGCCCGGTCTCGGAGGTTGTAATTATTTTTGGCAAGGTGTAAACAGATCTGGGAAAAGAAACTGAAAACCAGAGTTATTTACGAGATGCCACGCCAGCATCAGAGCCCGGCTACCAAATCAGCAAGCGCAAGGTCACCCTCATCTGCTTAGGAGAGCAAGTTTGAAAACTGGTTTGCAGCCAGCCAGGCAAAATAACTAGCCTCAGTCTGCCCAGGAAGGCAAGTAATGGAACTGGAGCACGATGAACCACCAGAAAACACTGCTTCAGTCAACTAACTACAAGGGCTTTATCACAGGGCTGGCAAGCTTTGAAATGACATCCATCAAGATGATGTCCACCCAGCCCTTAACTGACCATGACAACTACCTGCTTCCCCGGTCTACTCAAGAGGAGTAAGAAGGACATCAGGTCCGTAAGTCTTCCTCCACCAAAGCTGTTGTAGAGAGAGGCATCCAAGGGACTCCATCTGCATGTAAAAGACTACTGAAGACCACTCATCGCCCTACCCTTAAGGCCACCGTCTCCTTCCAAGGAGTTAGAATATTGCCCCAACCCAGGAAGAACCACAGATTTTTGAAAAGCAATTTACTTGCAAAGAGTAAAGCTTTGCATTCTTTCTCTCCTTTTGGCCAGCAGAGAAAAGCTGCAAAAGCTGAACCCTCCCTGCAGGAGGATATTGCACCCCAAAGGGGCTGAAGAAGCCAGCAGCATCTCAACCCCACAAAGCACCCACCAAGGAAAATGCAAAAGCTCTTTCTGGTCTTACGAGGAGCCAAAGGGAAAGGGATGGTCAAAACTAGGTGTGGGGAGGCAGGAGGCGAGTGCCCGAGGGACAGGAGGACCTCCAGTCTGCTTTCTGCACACTCTCTTTATATTCTGCGTTCAAATGCCTCGCAAACAGGACTAGGACCCACAGCTCTGTTTCCAAGTACAGGATTGTGCTAAATTCTAATTAATTCTAAAAAGGATGACAAGCACAATGAGTTAGGAAGAGAGAAGAGCAAGCCTGTAGACCTGAGAGCCCATGAGACATCTCTGTATACAAAAGGAAGCAAAGGTATGTCTGAATAATATGCAGAGAAAAAAAGAAAAAAAAAAATGGGGAAAAAAAAAAAAAAAAAGAGCAGGCCTTGGTTTCCATGCACAAAGAAGAGGACCCTTACAATTAAACTGCAGGTATATCCATGAGGGGAGGGGACAAAAAAATAAAAAAGGAATTGAAATCTTCTCCATTGCCCTATATTTCGGGCAAAGTAGAAGAAACCCATCTCTCGAAGCTCTAAAGATGATAATGAGGAAAATATCTGTAGTGAGACTGTCAATCTGCTTTTTCAATTTGCAAGGTGTCAGTCACAACATCCTGTTTTACTGTAATATTACAGCACTGTTTACACCACTTCATAAGATTCATCTCCAATGGACCAGTTATGGGACTTGGCTAAAACAGCAACCCATTACTTTTTTACAAAAACGACCCATACCTATGAAACTCCCCTGCGGTGCATGATCAATAATTAAGAGGGCTTTTGAAAGCACGCGGCTGTTGTCTAAAACAGAAAATTCCAAAAGCTTAGCACAGCATTTCTGGGGCTTCAACACCCACATTTTACCACCTACTTCCATCTTCGCCTACCTGAAGTTAATGGAAGCTGAAGGTCCTCCAACACAGAGAAATCCAGACACTAACATGCTGTGGTCTCAACACAACTTTAAGCTCTATCATTTTTACTTTTTTTTTTTTTTTTTTTTCTCTCCTTATTTTTCATTAGTAAAAGTAGTCCTAGTAAAATGACTTCTTTTTTCACCATCACTACAAATCTAAATAGCTTTACAACCTGTATGACACGGTACACAAGAGGACAGTGACCATTAGCAGGCTGACATGCTTCCCTGATCACAGCTATGCTTATTCATCGTGGCCTGATCCTGCCCGCACTGATCCCACAGCTCTGTCCACGGCAGCTTCAGCAGAGACCAGATATTTTCAATTCTTTAAAATAAAAGCAAAGCAATCAGAGAATACAAGCAAACAAAAACACATGCACTATTACTATATATGTGAATTTGATATACATATATATACACATGCATATATCTTATGTTCTACACTATAAAAATTGTTACTTAACAACATATATAAGTTTAATTGCTCATACTTTTTCACTGAGCACCTGCTCCTGTTCACTACTTGTAGCAGAATATTTGATGGGACTGACATTGGGGTCTCTCCAGCACTGACTGGCACTCAGGTAAGAGAGCGGCTAGGGATATGTAGGCGGATGACAGAAAACATCCAAACTTTTGGGAAAGATAAATCACATCTCATGCTATTTAACAGCAAGCTTAAACTTGTATAAATTATGTATTTCAGAAATTAGGAGGTCCTCATGAGAGTATAGAAAGCTAATAGTGTCACAAGGGATCATAAATCTATTGTTTTGTGGGGGGAAAAAAAATAACGTCAGAAGCTCTATTAAGGTTTAACTTGTTTCAGTTTGCAAGAAGGAAAAGCTCAGCATCTGCAGCTCCCAACAGAAGGATGCAGCTATGTGGAAGATGTTAAAAAATTACATAGATTGATCTAGGCCTTAATGCACAGCACCTACTCTCATACAGCCACATGATTTTTAAATTATTTTTATTAGCCAGGAATAGAAAATGCAGTTCATTGGAATTAACTTGAAGTTGTTGCAGCAATTACATTTAAAAAAAAAAAAAGTTTGCTTTCTTTTTAATAATGATTCCATAGCAAACAGAAGGGACAGAGGGACTGTTGGTCACCAGCAGGATGTTGAATGGTGCCTGTGCACAACCAGCACTGTAAGCAAATAAGCTGCATTATCCCCCTTCAAAAAAACCAAGACCACATGTCGGAAAAGGGATGCTCCTACAGAAGCAAAATTACAAACTCAAGGGATTGCCATCTGCAGCTCCCGGGCCCAGGCAGATGAAGCACAATAAAAAGTAAACGAAGAAAATCTGTAATGTCACTATATTAAACAAGGTGTTACCCAGTGAGTCAGCACAGTTCCTGCAGCATCATCGACCTTCCCCATCACCAAACGGACGCACGGCTGCGTTTCATCTCCCCTCTCCAAAATCAGAAGAGCTCGGAGCATCACAGACATCTCCAGGCTGGGACATGGGATGCGGCAAAGCATTCGCTAATAACTCACCCCAAACACAACTGCACTTATCTACAGTTAGCTGCAACCACTGCTCCCTGTGACCAAAAGCCCTTCTTTTAGCCGATAATATGTTTTCCAAACAAACTATTCACATTAAAACTTTCAATGCTGGTTATCTAACCAAGGATTAAATTTGAGGGGGAAATTTCAATGAAAAGCAGTGGGTTTTTTGCATGAAAAAAACCACTTTGCAGAGCACAGCCCCGACTTCCCTTCAGTAGGTTTTGCTTAAACTCAAAACTACCGTTGCACGGCTCACAAACCCAGTGAGACATCATCCAAGTCTTCCCCAAACAGCCCGGGAGGATTTTTCTCCCTCAACACACCCCAAAATTGGAGCACACGAGCTGCAGAGTGAGCACTACTGCATGCAGACTGTGGTCACGGTCGTAAGACATCACATGCTGGTAAATAAATAAGGGAATTTCAGAGGAAAAATGAGGAAAAAAAAAAAAAAAAAAAAAAAGAAAAACAGTGTTTGTGGCTGTTTATGCCTCTACCACAGAGCTCCTCAGCTATCTGCTCATATGATTTTTTTTTTTCCAAAGCAGCCATTAATAGCAAGTTTGGGAGTTCCCTCGTACCACACTCGATCCTCTGGCATCTCACGCAGCAAAGAAAGGGGTTAATCCAAAAATTTGGGTCACAACACCTCCAAAATCTGCCTGGTTTTCACATGCAGAAAAATGAAGGAGACACCTCCCTCCTCCACTCACAAGAATCACAAGAAGATTTGTTATAAGCTGGAAAAAAAAGCAACAGGCTTCAAATGAGCTTAAACAAATTCCCTCATGGAAGAAGAAAATACTTTATTTTACAGAAATAACGACTATGGCAACCTACAGCACAACAGGGTTGGAATAAAATCCTACAGCACGGCTGTCTCCTGCACTCCTTTACTCCATGCACCAGCTGATGGAGGAGTCCTACAGGGGGAAAAAAAAAAAAAAATACATGGCCAAGTTATTCAAGACTACAGTCACAATAAAAGAATGCAGCAGGGGAAGGAAGACAAAGTGCCTGGTAACCTCAAAAAACTCACATTTTTGAACATGTGGCTTTGCAGCGGGGGTGACAGTAAAGCAAAACCAAAATAAACGCTACACAATGAGGAGCATAAACATTTTGCACTTATTTTCTGCTTTTATTTAGGGAAGAGATTACAAACATAGCAAAGAACCCAGCATGAGCATTCACTTTAAAAATGCAAGTAAATTTTCTAAATAAAAAAGTATAGGTATTGCAGCCGTGTTCAACTTCATTCAAGAAGAAGCCAGGAAATGTTTTGCAGATTTTGCTTGCAGCATCCCAGTAGATGAGTAGCCAACACACCTAAACTGCCCTTGGAAGAGCTTCACCCACAGCTCTGCATCCCAGCAAAAAAGTATTAAAAAACACCTGCTGATACACCTTGTCTTTTTTTATTTTGTATCCATCTTCAGAATATATTTAAAAAAAGCAATTGATTGCCAATGAAGTCTTCACTTTCTAATGGTGCTGCAAGCAAACTGGACATTGGGGGAAAAAAAAAAAAAAAAATCCATCCTGCACCTTTTTTTTTTTTTTTTTTTCCCAGTTAAATGCTATTTTTCCCATCATCAGGACTACTGAAAAGCAGAGACATGCCCATGCACTGCAACAAAGAGATGGCACCTGCCTACTGAATTTCCTGACTAGTGACACTATGAAGAAAAATAAGAGTTTTAAATAGAAACCTCCCTGCAAGTGTTAAATCAGATTAATTTAACTCTTTTGCATTATTTTAATCTTACATACCATCATTTGCAAGGCAAGTAGAAAAAAAAAAAAAAAAAAGAGTAGGAATCTTATCTTGACCATACTCCTTTGAAAACACAGTGTATTATTAAAAGTCACAAATAACCTCCCTGACGGCAAAAGGACACACGCTCCTTTGCAGCAGGGCGATAGCATGAATTTTATACTTAGCTCTCTGGACACTCAACATCCAGCAACAGGCAGGAGCTTCCCTTCATCCTTGCAACACTTAACACTGCTGCTGGCGATGCCAACACAAGTTTGTGGCCAGATTTTGTATTTGCACGTGTCAAAGAATACACCGCAAAAGAACACAATGCAATTTGAAAGGTTGGTGATGCTGCTGGAGGACAAGTTTTGCAATATCTCCCCAGCAAGTCCCGGCATGTAGGCACACTCCAATGCTTCATTTTGGGAGTTAAATGCTTAAATATCTGGATGAAATTTAGACCAAATAATGCCATAGGCAAACAGATTGGCTATTACAGTCAAGAAGACCCCACCAACCATTTCCTGGGTGGAAGGACCCACTCCTCCATCCATCAGGTCTCGGGGGGGATCAGACCTGGAGGCACAAGTCCCTTCCAGTGCAAGCAGCCTTTGCCCTGCTGATGAGGACTGCAACCCTACATAAAACACAGGCAGAGGCTCCTCCTGCCCGCACAAAGCCCTCGGGTGTTATAGATTTATTTCCACGTTCCCCTGCAGCACCAGCAGCCCTCAGGAGGTCCATAAAAAGCCAAGTGAGAGCCACCTCTCCATCCCGCTGCCCAAACTGACTGACGTGTAGGAAGGAAGATGACAAAGATGAGAAAAGTAAATTAGATTTTTTTGAAAGTTCTTTCCATTTTCATCTAGCAGAATGTGTTTATGGCACAGGCAGGGAATTGAAAGTATTATTTTTATCTTGATATTATTTACCCTTTCACACTTGCTATTTAAATATCCCTGAATTCCCAGAAGAACCAGCAATTCAAAATACCATTTGATATATAAGAAAGAGGAAGCACAGACTCATGCATTTTCAGCTTGCCTATTTTTTTTTTTTAATTAGTTTTTAAGTGCTATAATATCGATGTGCAAATTTTTCAAGACACAAAAGTATTATTTCTCCTTCACTCTCAGTATAGAGTCTCCATCCCCAGAGCAGGTTCTTGCTGGTCACACCGGAGAGTCACACGGCGAGAAGCAAATGACAAGAAGTTTAAAATATTTTAATAACTAAATAAATAAAAATCAAGAGAGTTCTGAGAAAAGCAGTAAGGTTTCTTGCACAAGAGAGGATGGGAATAAAAGACTTTCATACTCAAATCTCAGTTCTACCAGTCTCTGTAGTCAACCTCAGCTAAATAACTTGCAATTGTTGCACAAGAAGCAACCCTGGATGCCAGGAAAACTGCAGCAGTACAGTGTTACACCGAAAAACTCCTCCAAACCAAGCAATTGCCAATACTCCTCTAGGAGGGAGACAACATATCTGAAAGCTCAGTCTCATTTCAGACACAATGGCAGGAGGTAACGGAGAGCTAACTGAGGAGCCAGGATTGCAGCAGGACACGTGGTTGCACTGCTCAGCCTCTCCGATGTCCATCAAAGCCACATCAGCAGTGGTTGTGGCTTTTTTTTTTTTTTTTTTTTTTAAATTGAATTAGTATCCACAAGTAAACCTCAAAGGTGGAAAGCTCCGGAGCGAGCAACGGGGTTATTTGTTGCTTGGCTGATGGCTGGAGTGAGGGGATGAGCACACCATTAGCATCCAAGAAAAAGCCCAGAGATCAATCTGGAGGTGAGATGAGATGGAAAAGAACATCGTTGCTGGAGAAGATGGCAGAGCAGGAAGGCATGGATGGGCCAGAGAGCAGCTGGACTGAGTCATCGGTGATTTAACGACCCGAACCATCTGCTGAGGATACAGAGGCCAACAAGGCAGGATGGGGCACTGCATATTCACAGCCCCACTGCAAAGCGAAATGTCAGCTTGGAAAAAGGGATAAACGCTGGATAAAAAGCGAACTTTGCTGCTATTGCTACTGGATGGATAAAAAAAGGGAAAAAAAATCCTTATACTTTAGACCAGCCTTCCCCATCCCAGTCCATGCACCACAGAGTCAGTAAAACATTTAGGATTTAGCAGGATGAAGTACAAAGAGCAAAATTTCAGGCCACCCCACGCACATGTTATTCCCGTGTTTGCAAACAGAGGACTGCTTGTTTGTGCGGTGCTCCCAGACACATCTGGAACTGCAAATGTCACGGAATACTTCAAACGCAAACAAGCAGAGGTTTTGCAGCGTGTATTTGGTGTGATGGTGGAAGAATGAAAGTGTGCTTTTAGGTTTCCAAACCCTCTGCTTTCTGACAGGCACACAAAGACATTGAGCAGTTCAGTGGAAACACAAGATTTCCCCAACAAAGTCTGCTCCAGTGCTAAATGCTGCAGGTTAATTGTGTCCTGCAGCGAGGGCGAGCTTTTATTAAAAGCTCCGAACCACTAACGCTTTGTAGCACCAAAGTAAAAAAAAAAAAAAGGTTCTGCATTCAGCCAATGACTATTGCAGAAAATGGCACTTTATACATTTAAAAGTAGATTTATTTCCTCTCCTTGCACTTGCAAATCCATCTCACTGACTCATTTATGGCTAAAGCTTCCTGAATTAGCCTGGAAGGAAAAAAAAATAATAAATAAATACCATTATACCCTATGTGAGGTTAAAAGTGAGCCAAAACCCCGCTCTTTTAACTACAACGTGGGTCACGAAGCAGTTCCCAACGTTGCCATTGCACCAGGGCTCCACACATCGATGTTTCGTTGCGTTAAGCAACCACGGGACGGTGTTGTGGCGACTGCTGGTGGCAACGTGGGCGCGGGGACCTTCCATCTTCACCCTGTCACCGGCCACACGGGACACACGCGCGGTCCTTGGGAGAGCACAGCACCCTCTGCAAGCGCGTCCCTCCTTGCTCGCAGCCCTGGGCAAGGCCAGTCCCTGTCCCCCCCCCCACCTCCCCGTTGCTCGCACACACACAACCCCCGTGCGAGGCCAGCCACAGCCTCGACACCGTGCAAATGCACGCGGCAAACCCTGTGCAAGGGCAGCCGCAGCCCCTCGAGGCCTTGCTCCCAGGCTGCAAACACACACACCTCTGTGTGCAAGCCGTGTCCCTAAGCAACACATACACACCGCGCTGTGCAAGGCCATCCCTGTCCCCAAGCTGCACAAACACAGCTTGTGCAAGGCCAGCCCTGTCCCCACGTTGCACACACACACACACACACTCTCTGCAAGGCCAGCCCTGCCCTGTGGCACACACACGCCCTGTGCAAGGCCAGCCCTGTCCCCACGTTGCACACACACTCCCTCCAAGGCCAGCCCTGTCCCCACGTTGCACACACACACACTCTCCAAGGCCAGCCCTGTCCCCACGTTGCACACACACACTCTGTGCAAGGCCAGCCCTGTCCCCACGTTGCACACACACACCCTGTGCAAGGCCAGCTCTGTCCCCACGTTGCACACACACTCCCTGTGCAAGGCCAGCCCTGTCCCCACGTTGCTCACATACCCTGTGCAAGGCCAGCCCTGTCCCCACGTTGCACACACGCCCTGTGCAAGGCCAGCCCTGTCCCCACGTTGCACACACACACCCTGTGCAAGGCCAGCCCTGTCCCCACGTTGCACACACACACTCTGCAAGGCCAGCCCTGTCCCCACGTTGCACACACACACCCTGTGCAAGGCCAGCCCTGTCCCCACGTTGCACACACACACTCTCCAAGGCCAGCCTTGTCCCCACGTTGCACACACACATTCTGCAAGGCCAGCCCTGTCCCCACGTTGCACACACACACTCTCCAAGGCCAGCCCTGTCCCCACGTTGCACACACACCCTGTGCAAGGCCAGCCCTGTCCCCACATTGCACACACACACCCTGTGCAAGGCCAGCCCTGTCCCCACGTTGCACACACACACCCTGTGCAAGGCCAGCCCTGTCCCCACGTTGCACACACACACTCTCCAAGGCCAGCCCTGTCCCCACGTTGCACACACACACCCTGTGCAAGGCCAGCCCTGTCCCCACGTTGCACACACACACCCTGTGCAGGGCCAGCCCTGTCCCCACGTTGCACACACACACCCTGTGCAAGGCCAGCCCTGTCCCCACGTTGCACACACACACCCTGTGCAAGGCCAGCCCTGTCCCCACGTTGCACACACACACCCTGTGCAAGGCCAGCCCTGTCCCCACGCTGCACACACACACCCTGTGCAAGGCCAGCCCTGTCCTCACGTTGCACACACACTCTGCAAGGCCAGCCCTGTCCCCACGTTGCACACACACACTCTGCAAGGCCAGCCCTGTCCCCACGTTGCACACACACACTCTCCAAGGCCAGCCCTGTCCCCACGTTGCACACACACACTCTCCAAGGCCAGCCCTGTCCCCACGTTGCACACACACACTCTCCAAGGCCAGCCCTGTCCCCACGTTGCACACACACCCTGTGCAAGGCCAGCCCTGTCCCCACGTTGCACACACACACCCTGTGCAAGGCCAGCCCTGTCCCCACGTTGCACACACACACCCTGTGCAAGGCCAGCCCTGTCCCCACATTGCACACACACACTCTCCAAGGCCAGCCCTGTCCCCACGTTGCACACACACACTCTGCAAGGCCAGCCCTATCCCCACGTTGCACACACACACTCTGCAAGGCCAGCCCTGTCCCCACGTTGCACACACACACCCTGTGCAAGGCCAGCCCTGTCCCCACGTTGCACACACACACTCTCCAAGGCCAGCCCTGTCCCCACGTTGCACACACACACCCTGTGCAAGGCCAGCCCTGTCCCCACGCTGCACACACACACCCTGTGCAAGGCCAGTCCTGTCCCCACGTTGCACACACACACTCTGCAAGGCCAGCCCTGTCCCCACGTTGCACACAAGCCCTGTGCAAGGCCAGCCCTGTCCCCACGTTGCACACAAGCCCTGTGCAAGGCCAGCCCTGTCCTCACGTTGTACACACACAATCTCCAAGGCCAGCCCTGTCCCCACGTTGCACACACACCCTGTGCAAGGCCAGCCGTGTCCCCACGTTGCACACACACCCTGTGCAAGGCCAGCCCTGTCCCCACGTTGCACACACACACCCTGTGCAAGGCCAGCCCTGTCCCCACGTTGCACACACACACTCTCCAACGCCAGCCCTGTCCCCACGTTGCACACACACACCCTGTGCAAGGCCAGCCCTGCTCCCAAGCTGCACAAACACACGCAGTGACAGGCCAGCCCTGTCCCCACGTTACACACACGCCCCTGTGACAGGCCAGCCCTGTCCCCGTGTCACACACACACACACACCCCCCCACCCCCCTTTGCAGAGCCCGCACGTCCTTAGATCACCCCGCACCGGCCCCCACAAGCCGCGTCACCCCCCCGCGCGCCCGGAGGGGCGGGGGAAGGTCCGGCGCGCGCCCCTCACCTGCCGCCGCGCGCCCCTCGCCGCGAGGCTGCGCCCTGACCCGCCGGCACCCAAACATCACGTGACCGCGGGCGCGGGCCCCGCCCTTTAACCACGTCCTCGCCCCCCCCTCCTCGCTCCGCCCACCCCTCCGGTAGGTGCCACCGCCCGCCGGCACTGCCCCGGACTGCAACTCCCAGCCGGCACCGCGAAGCGACGCCCCGCCCCTTTCGCGCGGCGACCAATCCCCAGAGGGAACGGCGCGGGGGTGGCGGGGGTGGGTCCCGCCCACCGCCTCCCTCCGCGCTTCCCGCCTCAGGGCGCCGCTGCTCGCGGCTCCCGCAGCGGCCCCTTCCCTCCTCTGCGGGGACCTGCCGGGCGCCCTGAGGCTCCTCCGGTCCCACCTTCCTCCCGCAGCCGCGTTCCCCAAGGCGAGTTTCCCCTCACCGAGACCTCCCCACAACCCCCCCCTCAGCTTTCTGTCCCTCCAGGGACTCTGCTCCTCTGCCCCTTCCTGAGGATTCCGTTGTACAGTCTCTGGCCTGTAAGGTAGCACTCTGCTTCCCCTGCCTGCACTCTGGCACCTTTCCTTTTCCCCTCTCCTCTGCCCTGCCATACCCCACTGATCCTGGTGCTCCCCTCCGGTATATCTTTATTGAAAATTGGTCTGAACATCTCCACTACCTCCCCTGGGAGGGTCTCTAGGCTGGTACCGAGAGTGATGTGATTAGCCTTCGAGGGGGATGGGGATCAGCAAGTGGTGTGGGTAGCCTTTGATTTCATCAGCTGAGGAGCCCTTCAGACTCCAGCACTCGATGAGCCGATTCTCTTTTAATCGTTAACAAATACTCTTTGCTCCTCGTGAGAGCAGCTTAAGCACTTTGAGGACAGGTTTGCGCCCTTCTTTGTAGTCACACAGTGCCTACGGCACTGCACCCAGGAATAGAAATAAATAAGTGGGAACCACCAACTCCCTGCCACTAAAGCTGCTAATGCTGTTCAATTGCCACGAATTGCAGATGGGAGACTGCAAGTTCACCCAAAAAAATGCTTTGATAAAGCAGCCTAGCACACAGAGCGTTTGGTCGAACTCAAAACTACCTGGGAGGGGTTTGCTTTTTATTTGTGAAGTGACAGCAGCTTTGCTTGGTGCTTGGCTTTGCAAAACGAGTTATAAAGCAAGGATTTTCTTGATAGAGCCTTTAAACAACAATTCATTTTAACAAGGGGTTGACAAGCTAGCTGCTTTTTCCAAAATATAGTTCTGCACCAGTAGCCCTGCCAAAAAAAGTTTTAAAAGGGCTCAGGGGCCACCTGAGCCTCCATAAACTTAAGGGGTTTACAGCACCAAACCGCTATCAGAGTAGTTTCCTCAATCTTTTGCTGCATTGGTAAATCATTTAATTTTGTGGACTCTAAAGAAAATCCCTTAGGAAAAGGGGCCGTAAAAATGCATTGATAATGAAATACGGCTGTCCTGCTTGCTGCCTGCAAAATCCTCTGACTACAGTTACACGTGCAACATGCTGTGTCTTGCTGGGTGGGTTTTGGGGGCGGTTAAGGGGGGGAAGGAAGACCAGATTAATCCTGCAAGAAGCATAGATTACAGTTCAAAAACCACTGCAAAATTTTCAGTAATTTTCAGTACAAATCATATTTGCTTTCAGCGTGAGCCCCATGAATGTAAGTAAGAGAAGAAATATTTAAACATGTGCCAATATAAGACACAGAAAGTATTCTAAGGGACAGCAATCATAAAAATTACAGTGATTTGATTGCTCTGGTTTGCAGTCTGCATCTTGCTGGTTTTGCATTTTGTAGCTGAAGAAATACTGCTTAATCAATAAGTGTGTTATTCATACAATAATAATACCGTGAGTTTTCCAGGGACATTTTTCTTCTGAGGGATTTGGGCTTTTGCAAACCTTCGTATTGTGTGCGTCAGGACTGACTGGTCCTTGTTCTTACCAGCTGCTCATTGATCTGTTATAGCTTTCAAAAAGGGGGAAGGGTAGATTCTTGGCATGGAGAGGATATCAGGCCTTTTACATAAGCAGGCAAGCTGTCTTGCATCATCAAAGATGATGCCTTCTCTGAATTGAGGAAAAAAAAAGAAAAAAAAAAAATCAAAAACTAAAACCACAATTTACAGCTTTGTTCCACAGTCAGGTGTACGGGGACCAAAACTCCTAAGGGACAAAACTTTATTTAAATGGCTTAATCTTCATGTTTGTCGTCTTTTACTGGGAGGAGGTTGCCCGCTTGCCAGCTGCTGGGTGACATTTCCCAAGGTGGAAGCAGTGATTTCGTTCCAGGGTGAGCGACACTCCCAGAGGTCAGACCTGTGTTCCTGGAGGAGTTTGGCAATGGTGACTCAGGGGTGAAGTTGGCAGCATGTTCCTGCTTTGGAAAACTGCCCTGATTCCTCTACAAAGATGAAATGGGATGCATAAGAGGATTTCTACCTGAATTTAAAAAAATTCAGCAATGATGCTTTTACCTCTTTCCTGCTGAGATGATTATCCAGTTGGCTATCTGTGTCTTTAGGGGATTTCTTCCAGTGTTTGGAAGGAGTTTCCCTTTGGCTCACTGGTTGGTTTTGTGAATCATCTTTAATCATAACCTTTTAATAGCTATGCTATTAAAGTATTTATAGAAAGGTTATCCTGTTATCCTCTTGGTTACTTTTTCATAAGCTGTGTTGATTTGGTTTTGCTATAACAGTACCTCCTGGCTTTTCATCGACCTCTATTGCCACTGCCATTTCTTTATGTCGTCTAATGAGTTTCTTTGTTTGACATATGATAAAGCAAGTCGTGCTCTTATGAAGATGTCAAGGATTTTATAGAAAATTATAAACTATGATAGTGAAATATCTTAGAGAATGTTAAAAGAATAATCTCTCTCCTATTGAATTTTACGTTAATTAAAAAAAAAAAAAAATTTGTCTTGCATCTTATTACATACTTACATATAACCCAGTGGGGTTGCATTCCTCTTAAATTCTGCAGGACTTTTCCACTAAGCAAGAGAACACAAAAAAATAACTTGCATGAAAAGTAAGGGATCATCATGTGGGTTTCTTAGGCTATAATTTGTTTTGTGATCTTAACATCACTTCTTAAAAACTCAAAACTACTGTTAATTTCTCTCCTGTTTTGGATTGACGGGAAGTGTTGATAGGTTCAAGAAAAGGAAGGTAATTAAATAACATATCACAAGAAAGCTTCAATGACTGCTTAATTTATCCCATTAGCACACAGTTGCTATGTCACTCCCAATACCCATGTAAACACAGCAGCAAAGCTTTTCTAATACAGCAGTAAAAGAAGAATAAAGGGCAACTTATCATTGCAGTAACATGAAGAAGAAAGCCTGAATACTTCTCTGGAGTACGTACAAATAAATTTCTCCTGATTTTAAAATAGTCTAGGAACTATGTATTTAGAGCAGGTTTACATCTTTTCCTGTGCTTAAGGAGGCTCCACTTTTGCAAAAAGCCCCTTCTTTTCAGAAGTTTCTTTCTCCATTTGGTCTAATTTCAGATCTCAATGAGAAATTATTTACACACACACACACCCCAGATTACTACCTCCTTTTGCTATATTTTCCTGCTATTTTCAGTACTTGGGCTGGGGTTATAGCTTTTCTGAAGACTGCTAGACAAAATAAAACTGGGTTTTTTTAGCAGTACTTAAGTTTTCAATCCTGGATTAATTGGACAATTGCACAGTTGGAAGAATGCATCTTTCTTTGATAAAATTGCTGTTTTCCAGTCAAATGCCTTATATACCAAACCAATCAACTGCAAGGAGCACAGGAACAAATAGAAGTTGGTCTGAGTGCTTCACAAAAACAAGGCTGAGTCTTATTTCCTATTCCCAGAGATCCGTGGTGGTGACCTAAGATTCCCTGAAAACAGTACAGCTCGGAAAGCTTATCGCAGCATATCTGTATGTTGTTACCTGTGAGCAATTTAATAAAAAAGATATTATAGCAACAATAAAAGGAGGCTGGAGAATGCCAGCTAATCCCTGAACAACCTTATTTCAGTCTATTTAAAGTCCAAGAGAGACTTGAATTCCAGGACCTGGCAGATTCTGACATAAAACAGATGTTTTCATCAAGTACTGCAATGGCAGCATTACGTGTCCCAAGCTGGTGCCTATCTGGCAGGTCCGGTACGTCACGAGGAGGAATCACGAGCCATAAAGAGCCAATTTCCAATACTTCCCTGCATCAGTTACACCTGGGTATATGTGCAATAGCTGCAGATTTTAGTGGCATTACGTCTGGATTTATCTTAGCATCACTAGATTTGACCCTTCCTTTTCTAGAAACATATTATTGCTTCTGAATTAGAAAAATAAAAACCCCAAGCCATTAGAAAAAAAAAAAAACTTTGTATCCAAGGCAGTGATAAGTCAATCACCTCATCAATAAACCGTGTCGGATACTCTCGGTAATCCTAGTGATCAGCTTTGTTTATGAAAGCTAAATTGAGCTCCTCACCGCTCCGAGCAGGGATGACAAGTGGCAATTGAAACTAATGTTGACAGAGCTAAAGGAGCACACACTGAGTGCAGCAGAGGTAACACAACGGAGAGGGAACAAGGCAAAACCAAGCTGCTGAGGAGGAAATCTTGGAGGTTGGAACAAACCACTCATTCCACTTAACTCCGTGACAAAACACCACTGATAATTTGCTCGGTTCAGTAACGCAGTTCCTGCTGCACCTGTATAATCAGGAGGAGAAATTGGCCGATGCAGAGGAGCTGTGGTACAGGTGTTACACATAACTGCAGTAACTACCAGTGATTAGTCAAGAATTGTCCTTTGGTCTCGTCCAGTTAACAGGGGTTTATCCCAGGTTACACATTTGGGAAGGAAAAAGATTATTGTTTTCTATACATTTGTGCTACATCTCTCAAAACAGATTCCCACTCTGTTCAGTCTGCAAGTGCCACTGCACAATCATTTTTAAATAATAATGCTGTACTGAGAAATGGAATAAAATCTTCCATTCCAGAAAGAAATTTTTTTAAATGACCAAAGATATACATTAGGTTTTGGGGATTCACTGGCAAAAGCAAATATGCTT